TGTCAAACGCTCCGAGCGTTGAGGAATAACCACGGGCATTGGTGGAGAGGGACCGAGGTGACGCTATCGCAGTGGAGGTGGGGAGCCTTAGAACGTCTAGAGTGAGTCGTTGTAACGCTGTAACGCCTTTTGGCTGGACCCCCCCCGCACGCTGAAGATACCGCCTGGACCATGCTGCCGGGTTCTGTCTGTCTGTGCATCCGATCAATCTTGAAAAGAATACGTAAAGAATTGAAGATGTGGATTCACTGCTCGGTATTGAAAGGTGGATTCTATCTTAGATCTCCGAGAGACAAAACACCAGATTTTGGTCAGTATACACACACCACGGCCCAACGCAGCATCAAAGATAAATCACAAGCTGCTAAAGGCAATCCTTCAAAACCAACAGCAACAACCCCTGTCTTCCCAAGCAACCCACCTAAACCATCTCCAGCAGGTGCATTCACCACTAAGTTTGACTATCACACTCCCGTCCCTCCCTCTTCCAATCCATTTCAGCCCTCCCTGATACGAGGACCCTTCCATTCATCGGCCAACTGCGTCTCCCCTCTTCTCGGTCCCGACAAAAGGAAATCCTTCGTTCTACCTCACGTTCTAGCCCTCATGAGTCCCGGTTCATAGATACGATGATCCAGGGCCTATCGCAGATACAATCACACGCCAAGAACAAAAACACGGGGAAGCGGATCCTTTCCTATCTGCCTCCTTGTTCGTGCTCGTCAAATAGACAGGCACAAGCCCGTAAGCCATCGAACCATATTTTTCGAGAACATCACAACCCTGTCTCCCTTGAAGCTTGGACCAGAAAGGCAGCTGCAAGGCCACGAAAAGAGTATCTGCCTTGACCAGAAGGGAGGGACATTTGAGAAAAGAAATTCAGTACCAAGGCTTCGGGCTTCTATTCAAGTCTTTGCCCATGCTCAAACAGTATGAAATATCAAATAAATGCTACATATGCTCAACGCAACTTCGCCACCCTGTATCGCTTAAGCTTATTCACCGCATCCAATCACCCAATCACCGCACCCACAGTATCAGCTGCTCTAATTCACCTTCTTGGCGTCCTGCATAACGGCCTCCTTCTCTTGACTTTCTGCCTTGACGACTGTAGCGATGATCTTACCATTGGCGTCTCTTGGCTTTCTCTTCCACCCTGTAGAGAACAGCTGTCCCATGTCAAAGCGAGGCAGTGGGTGTCCTTCTGTGTTGATAACGACTTTGTCCAGAGGTAGGAGATCAGGAGGTGAGAACAGGAGGTAAAAGTATTTGAGTGTTTCGGCCTGTGTGGTCATGTTAGCATCTTGACTGGCTGCTCGCTCACATCCATGGATCTTTATCACTTACCAGCCAGAAGCTCTCCATGTTGTCCCGTACTTTAGGCGGGACAACATTTGCATTGCGCAGACTCGTAAAGCCTCCTCCATTTCGCACAGCTGTGTGGTTCATGAAAGACTTGAACATCTCCCAACCCCATTCCCGGTATCGGTTGTCGTTGGTAATCCTCCACATGTAGAACAGACTCTCCACTGTCTCGGGTCGCTGGAGATTGTGAACATCGCCAGACTTGACAGTAAAGTCCTTGCGCCACTCCGCGTCCGGACTTGGGTCGAAATTAACTGGACCATTCCGAGGACTACCGTAAGCTGTTGGCGGGTTGTCAATCTCAAAGTAGGTGATTTCGGCTGATAGCCCTGTTGCCATGTACTTGTACATTCCCCAGCATGTCTCCATGACCTCTCGCGCCAGCTGCATATCCTCCTCGTTCTTCTTCGACCACGTCGGCAGTTTGCGCGCCTGAGCCTCAGTAAGGCCTTCTGTGGCCGCTAAAGCTATTGTACCGGGCATGAAGCACACAAGGTGGTCCATCTTCGGGCTAAGTGGCATCTCTAATCCATTCGGTCGCTCTCCGATGATGGTAAACTTGGAATTGGAAGTATATGTGACGAGGTGCTTGCGAACGCCCTGAAGCGCTTCGTACCACATGTCTTGATAAATAGGCTCCTGCTTATTCGTCTGAAGATATTGCTTGATAAGATACTCATAGTATGAGTCGCCGCGGCTTCCCAGACGAATGTTTTCACCCCTGAACTCGCCCGACGTTGCATAGATAAAGATAGGGACCAAGCCGTCTTGGGCTCCCTGATTGTCGACAAGTTTCATGACATTTTCCACACGGTCCCAAAAGTCTTTTTCTCCTGTGAGCTTTGCGAGATACTTGAATTCAAGCTGGAGAGTTGTGGCCTCCGCCGTCGACGACGCTCCCATGTCTGCGTGTGAGGGGATGCCCTCGAACTTGGCGAGGTTGACACTGGCATATGGGATACCAGATGGGGAGTCAAATGCGCTCATGAGACGATCAGCCAAGTCTTTAGCTTTCTCAAGATACAAATCTTCGCCGGCTGCCCCCTCGTCATCCTCGGCCAGAGGGGCAAGCCCCGGGAACTCGGTGGATAAGTAATGTGCACTTAGAAGCCCACCCAGCATTCGAATTGTCGTCTCAAAGGTGTTGACATCCTGATCCTGATCCCATGTCAAGGAGTCCGAGATCCAATGACGAGCGTCTTGGACACGAGATGTAAGGTTCATGAGAATCATAGTATCCAAAGAGTCGATTATGATCCAGCCGAGCCCCTTTGGCGCCATGTTTTCACCCGTCTTGCTAATTGGGTGGTATTCATCGAATCCTGTCGAGTTCTTCGGTCAGCCAATTTGAATCCTGTCCAGATATTCGGCCAGACGTACCCCAGGCATATCGCTTGTAGGCATCCCAGCTCAGCTCGAATGCCTCGACCACACGATCTCTCCTGTGATCCCAGTTCGCCTTTCTATCATCCTTGGACAAGCCTGTGTAGCTCCAATCGGTCGTTACAGTTCGCTTCGGTGAGGGTTTCTTCGAGGATCCAGTCCAATATATTAAAGTCAAAACAACCAAGGCAATAATAGCCACCCACTTCTTCCGCTTCCAAAAGGGTCTGTCTTCATCGTCGTAAGGCGACGCATAAGGTTTATCTTTGTACATTGGGAGTCGATCCGACTTGTTGGATCTCTGGCCAGAACCCCAGAATCGATCCTCAAGCTCTCGTTGACGACTATCAAAGGACGGAACGGTTCGGGGCATAGAGAAGGCCATAGCTACTTCATCGGCCTCGGCCCGCGACGGCGCAGGAATGTTTCGAGATTGCGGGCGTCCAAAGGTGCTTGTGGTTCGGTGGATGTTGAACGGATCTCGAATCATTGACTTGGTGTTTTCATTTCTAGGTGGGACTAGCCAGTAGAGCGAGAGCGAATGACTCGAAAGGACGCTAGAATTCACAGTGCAAGACAGGACAAGAACTATTATGTACAGGTCGCAAGCAAGGAAGCAGTTGACAAAGAAAGTGGCAACAAAAGTCTCAAGCTTGAGACGAAACAACCAGAGCCAATAGAGGACAGAAATACAGACAGAACCGAAATCAGGAGCTTGGGGTAGCTTTTACTCTTACGGCACGCGACCAGGGGTTATACAAAAGGTGTCGTTTGCGATTGCGACACCGACTCTCGGTCAAGTTTAGCGCCCTGGCCCGAGCACTCGGACCTAGCAATTCCGTTTCCCTTTTATATTGCGAAACCAAATCGTTACAACCTGAATCGCTACCTTACCTATTGTATGACTTATGGCAGAAGCAGGCTTGATCAATAGTGGCATCCCATGAGCTGCCGTCTGTGGAATCTTGTGTTATTATGAGTTGCAATGGGAGAGCAAAGTGATTCTGGTTGATAATGCGAAAGTGTTTCCCTTTATGTGACATCAAGTACAACTCTAATTTTTGACGTCTTACCTGGACCTTGGGTAGTCCCTTCAAACACATAAATAGGGCACCTTAGCAAATCAAAGCTCACATGAATGTTACATCCAACCAAATATAGTCCTGTCAAACAATCATGCTGTGCTAGATCATCGAAGCACTAAAATTACCGCCAGCTCAGGTACGTGGACCCTTCGTACCCAAAAACACAGCACTGGAAGCGATACCCAACTCAATCACAACTTCACATCTGATACCAAAACTCTCCATACCTCGACCACAATATTCCAGTCGGAATGAGTATTGAAAACTTCCCTTCTCTTACCGCAGAGGAGTTCTCAGAAGCATGCCATCACCTTGACAGGCAATACTGCCAAGCGTCTTTGGGCCCCCAACGAGCACGGTGGAAGCTGAGGCTCTGCAATGCTCTTTGCACAGACTTCGCCTATGGTGGGGGCTTCACAACATATATCCAAATAAGGCGGCCTCTCGAGTTTGATCTGGATCATGGAGATCTTTCACTAGGTTTGGATGGATTCTCCTTCTCAGACGACGAAACGCATGTACCAATAAGTGGGGATAAGGATATGTTGGATGCTGAAGAAGCAGACGAGGTAACTCATCTTCAATATAATATCTTCCAAGTGTTGAATCTCGTCTTACAGATTACGACAGGCCGCTCTAATCAGACAAAGGACTCGCCCAGAAGTTGCCATGGTGGAGTATGAAATTCACCTTCACCCCACGTATCGTGTGCCATGTCTATGGTTTAATCTACGCAACCTACCCGCCGATGAGCCAGCGTTCAACATTGACACCGTCTTTCGCCGCCTTGTACCAGACGAGTACAAGGCCGGGCTTCGAGCACTGGGCAATGTAGGCGGTATTTCGGCCGATGTACGTTTTCTGAGGACAGCTGTTTGCACAAGTCAATTTCAATATTCTGGGTATCGTCAAGATTGGTCGGCCTAACTAACATCTTGCTCGCAGCACCACCCTATCACGGGCGTCCCATCCTTCTTTATCCACCCCTGCTTGCTGGGAGACGCAATTTCCAAATTCGAGTGCGACAGGACCAACTATCTCATGATATGGCTCGGACTTGTCGGAGGTTGCGTAGGGCTATGGGTCCCTAAAGAAATGGCAATGTAGTAGCGTATCGATTGCGTCTCTCAGAAATGTCGCCGTCCTTCATGGGTTCATTCTTGTACATCAGTCATCGTCACTGTCCTCCTCCATTGCAACATCCGAATCACTATCCTCATCGTCACGGGTTCGCTTCTGTCCTCGGCCACCTGGTGTATCGGCGTCTTCCATGACGTGGTCCGCGCTCGCTGCAGGCTTCACAGGAAGACCAGAGCCGGGCGTCGGTGCCGGCGCTGAACCAGGAGGGGGAGCGTTGAAGATGCTCTGTTGCAGTTCAGTCTGCTCGACGTTGGTGGCACCTGCGACATTAGGGATCTTGAAAGTGCCGTCGAGTTTAGCCACAAAGTTGGACTTGGACTTCGCATATTGTATTTTCTAGCAAACGAGTTAGACTGATTTCACCACCACGGAAAGGTTCCACTAACCAAGTCGCGACCAAGGAATGCTTGTCCTTCGAGAGATCTCATAGCTTGTGTAGCAGACTGAACGTCCCGGAATACGATATGGGCCTGACCGCGCATCTTCATTGTCTTAAGAGCGACAACATCGAGGACAGGGCCATATGTGGAGAAGAGGAGGTAGAGGGCGGTTCGCAGATCGGCTTTCTGGATTTTTGAGGAGGGGAGATTCGTTACGTAGAGACTGGAAAGTCAGCACGGCTTGAGAAGGAGCAGGGCAGTGAAGAACTCACGTTTGATTAGGAGGAATAGGTTGAACCTTGGCTGGTAAAGATGCGTTTGGCTGAAGACCACGAGGCGCGGTTGCTACAGCGGCCATTGTAATAGTTGAACAGGCGCCGGTGGTTCTATGTTGATAATCGACGTGTCGCAATAGAAGGCTCAGTCCTTTTCCGGTGCTTCTTATACTAAGACTGTGGTATTGATAACGGGTGCAATGGGATTCCAAAATATCGATGTTGGGCGGTGTTGATGGATTGGAGATTTTTCGCCGAGCCTAGAATTGCCAGCCTCGCACTACAAGACAAGCACAGCCGCTGTGGCCCAAGCTTAAGCACTCTACCATCGACTGGCTGGAGCTTCAGCACTACCTACGTAACCCCCCACCCCCCACCGCCGGCTTGGAACCTACCTGGACATCCATCGTCAGCACCCAACTCCGACCGGCTTTTCTTACTCCTATACTCTCAATCAGCTTCAAAGCGATAGTAGAGAGCTACTCCTATCGCGAATAACATCAGTATGGCCGCCACCGAAGTCCACCACCTCTTCCACCACCCCATCGCCGACCACTCCTTCTCGGCCGATCACTCCGTCCTCGCTGTCGCTCGAGACACTAGTATTGAGCTCTATGGCAAGGTTGGCAATGCCTTCAAGCTAAAAGATGAGCTCAAGGGTCACGACAAGACGGTCACTAGTGTCGATATTGCCCCAAACAGCGGACGTATCGTTACTTGCTCTCAAGGTTAGTCTGCGTGGAGTTACCCCTATGTAGTGTCTTGTTCAGTACCTTACATGATAACAGATCGTAACGCTCTGGTCTGGGAGCCATCCCCAACCGGTTATAAGCCTACTTTGGTCCTTCTGCGAATCAGCCGGGCTGCTACCTTTGTCCGATGGTCTCCCTCCGAGAACAAGTTCGCCGTGGGTTCCGGTGATCGCGTCATTGCCGTCTGCTACTTCGAAGAGGAGAACGACTGGTGGGTGTCGAAGCACCTGAAGAAGCCCATCCGCAGCACCATTACCAGCGTTGCCTGGCATCCCAACTCGGTTCTCTTGGCTGCCGGATCCACTGATGCTCACGCCAGAGTCTTCTCCGCCTTCATCAAGGGTATGGACTCCCGTCCTCCTCCCGGAGTCTGGGGCGAGCGACTCCCTTTCAACACCGTTTGTGGGGAGTACTTGAACAACTCGGCTGGATGGGTGCACTCTGTCTCTTTCTCTCCAAGCGGAGACAGTCTTGCGTTCGCGGCGCATGATAGTAGCATCACAGTCGTCTACCCGTCGGGCCCTGAGCAACCTCCCCGGGCAGTTGTCACCGTCTCCACCAAGCAGCTTCCTTTCAAGAGTCTGATCTGGACCAGCGAAGATGAGATCATTGCTGCTGGCTACGACTGTGAGGCTTTCCGCTTCCAAGGTGGTGAGGCAGGCTGGCAGCTAGCTGGTGCTATTGAGCAGAAGGGTCGTCCTGGTCTGGGCGAGCACCGCGAGGAATCTGCTTTGAACATGTTCAGACAAATGGATCTCAAGGGCAAGACCAAGGATGACACCCAGCTTAAGACTGTCCATCAAAATACCATCAGCACCGTCAGGCCTTTCGAAACCTCCGGTGACCGCGTTACCAAGTTCAGCAGTAAGTAAAAGTCGTACCTATAAGTTGCGTAAACTGACACAGATTGTAGCAAGCGGCGTCGATGGTAGAGTTGTGGTATGGAGCACTTAGATAGCTTGAATAAACAATATACTGCTACTAGAAAGCGTGCAGTTCTATGGTAACTTGCCGTTGGTCTACAGACTCCATACCTCCCACAGGCACCACTGGCTTTGATTTATATCGGGCGTTGTAGTACTTTATGCACCGTGTAAACTTAGAAGGAAGTCTCTTTGTAAGGTCTTGATGTACTTCTCGATCCTCACCATTATTAAGTAGATATTGACTCACTAGGTAGGTAGGTACTTATCCAATAGCTCAGGCATTTACGAGGCCACATAAGGGGTACTGTCTGTTTGCTTCAGAACTTTCGTTCCTAGTAACACCAAACTACCAGCTCATTCTTCATAGCACTCATCTCTGATGTAAGTCAAGTGCCTAGCAATAAACTTTCTTCGTAATATTTGTCAGAATTTGGTAGCACCATCCTCCCACGGAGACTGGTTTGATGGTTTTGTGGCAATAGGACTACTTTATCCCCGAAGACTCACGATTCTCACTGATTCTGAAATAATGCAGAATTGTTTTTATCTAGTTCTATTTTGTCGCGGGCATTGGCTTTGCTTGGATTTTGCCTCTATGGAAGAGCAATGACCTCAATCTCCACATCGACGTTCTTGGGGAGAGTCTTGACAGCTACACAGCTACGGGCAGGCTTGTGCGAAAACCACTTCTCGTACTCGGTGTTGATTTCCTAGAAGCTGTCAGTAACTGAATGGAAAATTGGCCTTGCTGAGGCACTGACAGCAAAGTAGGACATGTCAGAGATGAAGACTGTAGTCTTGACCACCTTGGAAATAGACGAGCCCGCCGCCTCAACAACAGCCTGGACATTCTTGCAAGCCTGGCGGGTCTGCTCGGTGATGCCTTGGACCATCTCACCCTCGGGGGTAAGAGGAATCTGGCCAGAGCAATAGATCATGTTGGGGGTCTTGATGGCTTGAGACTGGTTTGGCATATCATGAGTGTTGGTCTTGTCAGTGAGGGGTAGCTGAACATACGTAAGGGCCAAGGGCTTCGATACTGTCAGTAAAGGTTTACCAGAGATTGAATCCATACAACTTACCCGCAGGGGCGTCCTTGGTGAAAATGATCTGCTGGTCGGAGGACATTGTCGATTGGTGTCTGGTTGAAAGTGTGAACTTGGCTGGCGCTACGATATACTGGCGGGGAATTGTTCGGATGGAAGAGGCGATGGAGCGTGAAGCTCTGCGCGCAATGGGAGAAAATGACATGGCAGAAAAAGCTTGACAATTGTAATTACCGACGTACCTAGAGAAAGGAGAATGATCGAATTGGAGTCTCAGAGCTGAGGTTTTGTTGAGTTAGTTCCCAATGGGTTCAAGCAAGCTTTGGTTGCTGTGTTTTATGAGAGCTCCGGAGGTTCGGTGAGTACTCGGAGGGGTAAACCGAAGCTAGCCAATGGAAAGCACCTTGAGAGAATGGATTGGACTCGGTTGTATCTGGTCAATTGCTACAGGTACATGAAATCAGCTACTTGACTGCTGCTGAGCTCCGTTGATCGGCTAACTTGTGGTAAGTCTGGCGACCTCTCCGGGCCGCCCCGCATTGCGCCCTCCGGAGACGGCGGCCGAGGAGCGTTTGGAAGAGCTCTGAACATGAGCTTGGTCTGGGGAGCTCTACTATTATAGCTATGCCAGTATACCATTTAACAGGTAAGTTCAGAGACTAAGATGGTGCTGTCTTATCTTTGTTGTTTGGTCATTGGCATGAAGCCATGGCGTCTAAATGTTAGACGTGTTGCATATATCGCAGTGTTTGTTCAGGAGCTCAATAGAAATGTTTTGGCAAACAGAGTTATAGTTCAAGTTTGAATAAAAGGTGTCTCTATTGATGCTCTATTCAACACCAGAAGAAGGATAGTTGGGTATTTGTTGCAAATGCAGCCTTATTTGTCTCTTTGTGCTTTGCCACCAACTCAAAGTTTCAGTGTGACCAACGACGACAGTAATCAAGCAGTCTCCGAGAAAGTTAGTACTCCACTTGTACGATGTCCGAATCATTTGTGTTCAATTAAAGATCGGGTTTGGCGGTCAAGCAGTAATCACAATCCAATCGACCACGGTATGCTTTCAGCCCTGTTGCTGAGCATCTCCAAAACCGGCATCATCAGCAAAGCTTGGTCGAAGTCAAGAGTCCCTCCCACTGCAGCTAAAACACGACGGGACCCAATTGGTTCCCTTAGCTCCTTATTCAGTTCTCTTGAGAAACATCCAACTGTTAGCAGCTTCAGCTGTCAAGTGGCTGAGAGCTAACACAAGTGGGGTCTTACCCCTGCGTCCATCCCATCTAGCCCAGACTCCTCCAGTAACAGGGGTAAAAAAAGGCAAGCTGGCCAGGTTGTCCTCGACGCCAGAAGCATCAACTTGATCCCATAACTTCGACCACAGGGAGGTTTCTCTTTTTAATCAATCGCCCCTTTTTCTTTCCTTTCTTTTTATTTTTGTGAATCTTCTCGACTGAGGTGGTAATTGCTTCTAGTAGCTACCTCTACTTGCTCTTCTATCGCTCCTTTGTTCACCTATTTCTTCTTCTCTTCTACAAATCGCTTGGTGCAACCAGGGCACTACTATCTAACCCCTGAGGTAAGCCTGAGACCTGCGGTTCCTCTGAATCGTTTGTGAGACGTGGTTGTTTCTCTGCATATTTCATGCCATTTTCTTTTCTTATATACATCTATAAGGTCTTTGACTGATTGTCGCATCTGTAGCCTACGGCCGTCTTCAATCATGGCTCGAAGCTCTACGCCGCAGGGCAGCCTGCGACAGAGGGGCGCACCATCAAAGAAGCCCTCCGAAGAAGACTCGTTCGATCCTAATATCGAGCTTGACAAGCTTGCCAAGGCTGGTGCTCAGCGAGCCGCTGCCCAGAGCGAGACCGAGTACAAGATTGGCCTCTTCCTCATCACTATCTTGTCCTTTGTTACTCGGTTCTGGGGCATCAGCCATCCGAACGAGGTTGTCTTTGACGAGGTGCACTTTGGAAAGGTAAGCACGACTGAATTCAATAGCATTTGACGCTATAGCTAAGCGTTTCTTGATAGTTCGCCTCATACTACCTCGAGCGAACCTACTTCTTCGACGTTCACCCTCCCTTCGGCAAGCTTCTGTTCGCCTTTGTGGGCTGGCTCGTTGGCTACGATGGTAACTTCCATTTCGAGAACATCGGCGACTCCTACATTGCGAATAAAGTTCCTTATGTCGCGTACCGAGCTCTCCCCGCTACTCTAGGTGCTTTGACTGTCTCGGTCACATATCTCATCATGTGGGAATCTGGCTACAGTCTCCCCGCTTGCATCCTCGCCGCTGGTCTGGTCCTCCTCGACAATGCCCACATCGGCCAGACCCGGCTCATCCTCCTAGATGCGACTCTGGTCCTCGCCATGGCCTGCAGTCTCCTTTTCTACATCAAGTGGTACAAGCTCCGACATGAGCCTTTCTCCCGAAAGTGGTGGAAGTGGCTCATCCTCACCGGGTTCGCTCTGTCTTGCGATATCTCGGTCAAGTACGTTGGTGTATTTGCCTTCGTTACCATTGGCTCTGCCGTTGTCATTGACCTCTGGGACCTCCTCAACATTAACCGACCTGGTGGTGCAATCAGCCTGCAGGAATTTACCAAGCACTTTGCCGCTCGGGCTTTTGGTCTGATCATCATGCCTTTCTTGTTCTACCTCTTCTGGTTCCAGGTTCACTTCGCCGTTCTCTACCGATCCGGTCCTGGTGATGATTTCATGACTCCTGAATTCCAGGAGACCCTGAGCGACAACGTCATGCTGGCCAATTCGATCGACATTCAGTACTATGACCAAATCACAATTCGACACAAGGAAACCAAGACATACCTTCACAGTCATGAGGATCGTTACCCTCTTCGATACGATGATGGCCGTGTTTCGTCCCAGGGCCAGCAGATCACTGGTTACCCTTACAACGACACAAACAACTACTGGGAGATCCTGCCCGCCAATAACGATAAGCAGATGGGCCGCATTGTCAAGAACCACGAACTGGTTCGCCTTCGCCACGTTGGAACCGACAAGATTCTACTCTCCCACGATGTCGCTTCTCCTTACTACCCCACCAACCAGGAATTCACTGCTGTTACCCCCGAGGAGGCTTTCGGCAAGCGTGAGAAGGACACGCTTTTTGAGGTCCGAATTGAGCACGGCAAGAAGAACCAGAACTTCAAGACTGTTGCTGGCCACTTCAAGCTCATTCACAACCCAAGCAAGGTTGCCATGTGGACTCACACCAAGCCTCTCCCTGAGTGGGGTTACAAGCAGCAGGAGATCAACGGTAACAAGCAGATTGCGCCCAGCTCCAACGTCTGGATTGCCGAGGACATTCCCTCTCTACCTGCTGATCACCCTCGTCGCCAGAAGCCTGAGCGCAAGGTCAAGTCTCTGCCCTTCCTCCAGAAGTGGTTCGAGCTCCAGCGCGCCATGTTCTACCACAACAGCAAGCTTACCAGCAGCCACCCTTATGCTAGTCACCCTTACCAGTGGCCTTTCCTGCTCCGTGGCGTGAGCTTCTGGACCCAGAGCGAGACGCGCCAACAGATCTACTTCTTGGGCAACCCGATTGGCTGGTGGCTCGCTAGCAGTCTTCTCGCTGTTTACGCCGGTATCCTTCTCGCTGATCAGGTATCTCTGCGCCGTGGTGTTGATGCTCTCGACCGCCGTAAGTAATTTCGAAATACATGTTCGGAGTTGATTTAATAACGAAATTTTAGGAACTCGATCGCGCCTGTATAACTCTACCGGTTTCTTCTTCCTTGCTTGGGCTACTCATTACTTCCCGTTCTTCCTCATGGGACGTCAACTTTTCTTGCATCACTACCTTCCAGCCCACCTTGCCTCTTGTCTTGTTGCTGGCGCTCTTCTGGAGTTCATCTTCAACTCTGAAGCTCCTGAGGAGATCACTATCAAGGACAAGAAGGGACCTGTCAGCCCCAGGCACCATGTCACTGCTCGTGAGCGCTTCGCCGGTCAGAGCATGCTCGGTGCTTGGATTGCCTGTGGTGCTATTCTATCTTTGATTGTTGCTGGCTGGTACTTCTTCCTGCCTCTCACCTATGGCTACCCTGGTCTCTCCGTCGATGCCATTCTCCGAAGGAAGTGGCTAGGATACGACCTTCACTTTGCCAAATAGACGGTGATAGGGTGATTTGACCAATCTTGAGTTTTAAGATTCTTGGGCCAAGGAATTTCAAGTGGACATACCACTAGCATTTTTTCCATGAGACTCGGGTCGAGTTAATGAAGGTGTCATGACACTGATCATGACAAGATTAGTTATGGGATATACCGGGTCGGCGGAGGTTGGACCATGGGTGGCAGACAAAACCAATCTCATGTTATCTCTATATGATAAAATACGTGAAGGAAGATGTGTAACCTATTGAAAGCATAGAGAAACTAATCTGATATTTGTTTGAACATTTGGACGTCATGTTCGACCATGAGTTGCATTTCTCAAGAACTAAAGTTTTGTAAGCTCAGTGGGCTTTGGCAGGGGACTTCTGTGACGTGCTGAGACCTCACCCCTAAATGACGCGCTACCATGATGAATGACGGGGATTATTGGGTCCAGGGTGTCCAAAGTGCTTCGATACAGAACATATCGCTGAAACAGAATTCTGCTACATGCTGAGCTTTGGGGTGAGCCAACTTGCCCCACTGTAGTAGGCGGTCACTAAGCTAGCTCAAGGTAACAGCCATTTAAGTTAGACAACCAGACCTGTCGGGTGTGGCTATAGGTGTACCTTACTTATTAGTCGACATGAGCCAAGCAAGGGATGGATCCAATGTCAATTGTGCAGTTAACATCATAACCAACGATGATTTTTCTTCTCGGATGATATTCCATGCTCTTGTCCGCTAAATTGCGCAGAAGTTGCACCAATCTTACTACTACGGAGTAATTCCACTCCCTACCTATGATGCTTTGCTGTCCTCATAACCACGAATAAGGAATCATGGTCTCGCATACGAACCGCCTCTACCTGCGTCGCCTCCTACGCTCACGCTTCCCCAAGATAGTCTTCATTCTCGTCGTCATAATCAACGTTCTCGATGTCCTTCGAATTCATAGAAACCTACTCGATGCCGATCGTACTCCAGCCGCGAAGCTCTCGCAGCCTCCAGGGCGCATCTATATCGCAAGCATGCACTTCAATAACGAGCGCGTAATTAGAGATCACTGGGGTCCTGCGGTGATAGAACTTGCAAAGCTTTTCGGGCGAGAGAATGTCTTTGTCAGTGTTTTTGAGAGCGGGAGCTGGGACAAGACTAAAAGAGAGCTCCATCACATGGATCAGGAGCTCGAGAAACTGGGAGTTCCCCATCGGGTGGAGATGTCGGATGTCACGCATAAAGATGAGATTGAGAATCCGAATAAGGGAGAAGGCTGGATCGACACACCTAGGGGAAAACGCGAGTTAAGAAGGATACCGTATCTCGCAAAGCTGAGAAACAAGACGTTACAGGACTTGATAGACCTATCCAAGAAAGGAGAGCATTTCGATAAGGTTCTCTTCCTCAACGACGTCGTCTTCACGGTACGTCAACTGCTATTTCAGGGTGGCCAGCATCTCACAAAGTTTGCAGACAGACGATGTGCTCAAGCTCCTTGGCACGAATGGCGGCGACTACGCTGCAGCTTGCTCACTTGATTTCTCGAAACCACCGCAGTACTATGATACATTTGCGCTGAGGGATACAAACGGACAGGCGCATGCAATGTCTACCTGGCCGTATTTCAAGGGCAGTGTTTCGAGGAATGCTCTTGTTAATCACTTGGACGCTGTGCCTGTTGCGAGCTGCTGGAATGGAATTGGTTTGTTTTCTTATGCTCAAAGACGAGTGCTTCCTCACTGACTGCCTCATCAGTCGCCATGCCCGTAGAGCCTTTTACTTCATCGTCGAAGCTGCGCTTCCGAGGTATTCCGGACTCTCTGGCTGAACACCACCTCGAAGGCTGTGAATGCTGCCTTATCCACGCTGACAATCCCCTTTCCAAAACTAGAGGTGTATACCTCAATCCTCATGTCCGCGTAGGTTACAACCTACATGCATACCAAGCTGTGCATCCCGAACAAGGCGCATGGGTGTCGACATGGCAGATCTTCTCTGGTCTCTGGATCAATCGCATAATGCGGTGGGTATCATCACCGTTTGACGCATGGGTGGTCAGGGGTCGTGTTGCAGAGTGGGAGAAATTAGGGGGGAGAGAGCCTGGCGAGTTTTGCCTGATTAACGAGATGCAGGTTCTTGTTGAAAGAGGTTGGGCACATGTTTAGATATTTGGTAGTGAGAAGGAAAAGAATTGTTGGTAAGATACCCATATTGTCAATCTGAAAGATTGTCTATTCTCAGTGCGAAGAGTTCTAGGACATTCTCCCATCTTAAAGAAGCGCCTAATGATACTATTCAAAAAAAAAAAAAAAAAAAAAAAAAAAAAACTATCTGGATGCCGGATCAAATAGCCAGCGACTTTTCTCCTAACAGTTGCATTTGGGATCAACCCTCCCCTCTCTCAAGTCGTTTCCTTCCCATTGTCTCATTTGCTGCGATCAACTCGACGAGGCACGTCTTAAATCACTTTACGAATCGGACTGGGGAGAACCTAGAACTTGTTGTCCTGGGCTAACTTGCGGTCGGGCAGGTAGGTGGATCAAAGTTGGTTGACCAACTGGAGACGATAGTACCGATCGCACAGCGGTCGACCTTGTCTCTTCCTTCTGGTCTTCGTCTTGCTCATCTTCACCCGCACACCGGTTTTCGATAGTCTCGACTGTAAACTCTTCATCTGAATTATCGTTGGGCTCAGAATAAGATGGCAAAAGGAATCCGGACAGCTTAGCTACGGAGGTCACAGCTTCGATCTCTATGCCTGATTCGTCGTCTGATTCCTCACCGTACTCAGAAGATGAGGATAGGAAGGGCCAACGAACCGTTTCTGCAGTAAGGGGTGTAGTCCCATCTTGACTTGGGTAAACCGGGGCGCTTAGCATATGACTACTAGAGAGGACAGGACTGTTGTTGTCAAAATGGCTTGTGGGAGGGATGAAATACCCGTTCTCAACATGCCCCAAACTTGGGAAGTCGAAGCTCCTTGTTGTTGGGGGGATATGAGGCTGACCATGAGACTCCCGGGCCATATCCTGAGCACGCAATCTAGCCAAGTGGTAGCGGTTTGTACGAAGCGGTGTCCGCGCCATCGGAGCTTCACTTGGAAGGTTTCCCTTCGAGAAAGCCCATGTTTCCCAGGTTGATCTGCTCTCGGGGATAGGATGATCAGGTGATGCTGCTCCAATTAGCCAACGAATAAGTCTTGTTATACACCAATGTGGCCAAATGAGATACGATATGAATGTTTCCCACCCTCCTCGTGCTTGTGGGCATTGATCTTGCTGTCGACCAGCGACGGAGGAATCCCGAGTCTGTTCATGGGAAGGCATTTTGTTGGAGTGGTTTGGCCAGGGTATAGAAGAGAAAGGTCTTTGGCAAAGAGAATGAATGTTGACGGCGTTCTTATTATACCCAAGTATTTTACCGGAGAGGAGAAAGCGTTCCATTTATTCCATAAAATAGAGGTAGGAGCTCAGATGTTCCTAGACTTCAGACTCGTTCATCGATTTGAGCACAGAACAATATTCTTGCTTCTATCGCAATTACATGATCGTCTAAACATCTGTAACGGCGTTGAACAAAGAACATGGCCAACGTCTCTTGTTCAGCTGACTCTCGCATTCGACAGTTGTTCACCATTAGGACAGAGAAACAGCCTCATGTTTCGAACACTTGCGATCAAGTATATAAAGCAATCGCGGCGATCTGCTTACTTATTCTATCACAATCTCGACAGCCTCCCCATCCAGACACAGACATCATCAAGCCTATGTCTTCAACCACCAACAACACCATTTCTACGCCAATATCACACACCAAAGAAGTTCCTATCCTCACATACTAGCACAATGTGTCTCGATATCTACCACGATTACCAGGAATGTGGGCACCATAGGTATGTCCGCACTTATACTTGCTGGCAAGATCGTTGGGAGGTGATTTGCCCCTGTTTGTCCTTCCCTCAGATATTCCCCTTCAAGAGCCAGCATAACAGTACCGATAATCGGCAGGTCCGACTAGGCTCCTGTCCCAACTGTGAGGCATCGAAAAAGAAGAGGGAGAGGAGGGATTATGGGGGGTTTACTGCTCAGCAAACCCATGGTGCTGGAGCCTCCCATGGGAGAGGACAGTTGCAGGCAACACAGCCAACCGGAGGTCATCAGGAGTTGAGGGTGCCCGAAAGAGCCCACCAACCAGGGGCATATAGACAGGAGCCTCATATGCACATGGCTTCCCAACCGAGGCCTTCTGATCGGGTATACACCAGTCCTCCGGGTGTACACCTCCCGCATCACTCTCCGGCACCAAGCCAAGGTGCAAGTCAGGTAAGTCCATCATCTCGGGGTATAGAGCTAACAGATCTGCAGCCCCGAAGACAGCATAATGATACTCACGCAAGCTCCTCCAAGCGCGAACGGCACGTTCGTGGTCAACAAGTAGGAAACAAGGTCATCGTGGACAAGGGCGTTACTCTCCCACCCGAGGGACAATATAAGACGCCTGATACTAGCAGATACAGGACCGCACGCAATAGTCCGAGAAGAGTTGGCAGTGGGCGGGATCGTATTGATCGGTCCCACACCGTTTCTCCTCTCACTGAGGATGAGAGGAATGCTCCCTATGTGGAGATCCCGTCTCATGACGAGTATCCTGGTTGGGTATAAGATTGTGTTATTACCTTGAGATGGTCATTTGGCTTGATCTGGCGTTGGCGTTGGCATAGGGAAGAAGGAATAGCAGAGGTTCAAGTGAATCATCTGAGTTATGAGATTGCATTATCGTTTTAGTTATGAGAATCCGATATCCTGTTGCGTTCTTCGATTTTTATTGTATTCAACGTAGTATCGATGTGATTGTATTATAAGAAATGATTCATGACAAGTTGATACTGGACTAATTATCCCGCTCATATCTTTGATAAAGATTGTAGACCTGAGACTTTAGGGGTACAGGAGACTTCTCATAGTTCCCTGCAGAATTTCAATCATTTGAGCACACGCTTCTAAGACATACAGCTATACGGTAGCTGGTTGCATCGAAAATAGAAACATATCTAAATGGGTCTTGGAGTCTGGGGCGACAGGTAGACAACGCACGGAGACCTATACCGGGCAAGGAAGATCTAGATTGTGTTGATACTGATCACCACTAGGATCTTGTAATCACAGCATGGATCATCGAGTCTGCCTGGGTATGTCAATGTCGAATCAAAAGTCCCAATTCGCGGGTGCCTTGATCACGAGCTGCCCCGTTAAGCTTGTCAAGAAGTTATTATAGTTTGCGCCATTAGACCCCGAAACTAGCAGTATCGTCAACAATCATACAAGGGTGATACCGCATCGTGTTCATGTCAAAAACGAATTCCACTACTGGCTGGTTTCCAGAAACGGCGCAAATGCATACGTATCCCCTGCGGACCAGAAATACGGATGCCTTGAGAATGGGGTTCACCACTCGAGGCATCCAGATTTGTCCCTGAACACAAGAGGGTCTTTGGTAGGCTGCTCGATAAAATTGACTCTGATTGGCTTATGGCAGGGACGTGTTTAAAAATGGCTGTTAGTATAGGACTTAATAGCATCGTACAAGACAAAAAGTTCTTGGAACAAATGAACGAATTGCAACTAGGGCCGAAATGAAACACCTGGCTTGCGTGTATATTTACGTATCTGGTGGTTGTTTCTATTGAGAGGGCGTATGCATATTGCGTACGTGTATCTTGGTTGGTTGTAAGCAGGAATTCGGTGACAAGATAGGATGATTACGATGCCTTCATGCTATCGCAAAAGGACCCTCGCGCATTCATGCTATCCTTTAAAAGATACGCCAAGGCGCGAGAATCGACAAACGCATGATTACTGACGCAGATTGAAAGAGCGGGCGTCAGCGATGACTCGACTTGTCTCGATCAATTGACATTGATGAGATTCATTCTGGTGGCGGCTACGGATTCCGGCCGGTAAATCTAGGACATGCGGCCTCAATCTGGGACGCATGCTTCAGGGCAGAAGCTGTCCCTCGGGGAGCAAGAAAACTCAAGACTTGAACAGAAGGTGCTAGAATAAATACAGTAAAGAGTCCCCTAAACTTAGGTTGGCTTTACCTAAATAATTTTGTCATCTAGGGGTCAAGGTCCCAAGTTTTCTTTCCTCCCACTAGGCTCTGAAAGGTTAGCAGTGCGATGAAATGCAAATGAACAGCTTGGAAGAAGATGGGGGTCCACGCTCGTAACCAAAAAGGGAAATCGCCGGCCATTGAGTCAACGGGTGACATGACCTTTGTTTCGACCAACCCCTGCGGAGAGCAGCAGCCCTATGCGTGGAGTAAATGCAGTATCGGTCCATTGGCTGTGGGCCGATGCTACGGGAAAGGAGGCGGCGTTGGCGGTGGAGAGAGTCCATGGGAGACAGGAACAGGAACAGGAACCAGTTGAAGGAGAATACTTGAGGTTGGTGTGTCTTGTGTTCGATCTAGATGCAGCCAAGACGAGGTCTCGGTGATGTTTGATAACGCGTGTGAGTCGTCGTGTCTCTCTTCGATGAAGGTTGCCAGTCGATCATATCCTGTTTCAAGCACCAGGATTTATCTGTCTGCTCAAAGGTCCAGCAACGACAATGCATGTCTCGGTGAGTCTCCCTCCTAACGAGCTACAACGCATCCATGGTAAGGTCAATCAAAACAATTCAAGATTTCCCAAGTCCCTATCAAATCAATGGCTCACAAAATATGCAGAGGGCTGCGCATCGCCATCGATTGCAAGGCACAGCCGTCAAAGAGGGCTGAGGTGGAGGGTGGAAATGCAATGCATCGACTGCAACACCAATGCGTCTCGTCAATCAGAGACCACCGACGAATAGAATAGAGACTAGTTTGCAAGTATGCCACTTTAGCGTGGTCAACGCCAATGAGCTACCAGATGAGCAGCCGTAGGATGTCAGAATGGCCACCCGAGGATCATTCGGAAAAGAGGCGGGCATTGACTGAACAGTGAACACCAAACGAGGGCGTGTAGTCTGCAAGTAATACAAGACACCTAGGTCTCTGAAAGAACAGCTCTCCCATAATTCTATACAATCTTCCTTCTTAGACACTTGTAATATTGGTCTTGGTGTCCTTACCAGAAGAAGTCCGAGTTCTTTCCGGACTGCTGAACCAAAGTCACTCTATCTACATATTGCTGACAGTCAACGGTCACGGACCACCCAAAAGATGCGCCCGGTGTCGATCCCTGCAGACTCTCCGCAAGGCGTTTTCCATAGGTTCACAACAGTGACAATGGTTGCCAAACCACCACGATCCGACGTCATCTAGAAGTAGACTTTAGCACAATTCGTAGACAACACCATTTCCTCTTCTCCCCTTGCGTTTGGTTTGTGATCGTGACCCCCCCAAGATTGGGATTGGTTTCATCTAAAACACGAGCTTATTTGAAACCGAAATGAAAACAAACACCGTCATTTCGCGGAGAAACAGAGGGCCACGACAGTCGATACGCAATGGTGCCATTTCTGGCCTCCAAATTCATCGTCAACTGCTCCTTGGCTTTTCCCTCAGATCAATGACAAGCTTGGAAATTCTTCTGCCTCATGCGCCTCTTGAGACGGACGGACAGAACTGGATGATGCGCAGTCAGTGAACCACAAAGGTTCTAGGGGCGCGGGAGAGGAGCGGTCGGATCTGGCGGAGTTTGTGGGGATACAGAAGAGGTCGCTTGTCATAATCGAGGTACTCCAAGTCGTAACTCCGAGTCTGGGAACGTTGAGGCTCTGCGGGGGAATTGAGGTGAGTTTTGGGTGTGTCAGATGCTCAGGAATTGGGAAGTCAAAGGGAGTTAGACTTTCAACTCTGTTAGTGATTGGGGTACTACCTCGGGGGGAATGCTATCGCACTCAACCTTGCGCAGGGGGGATCCTGCGCCTCAGCCCGTACCATGCTCGAAGGGGATTTAGCGTCCTGGATTTTAGGCAACAGTGGCCATGGGCTGAGAGATTGCGGAGCCCATTTCGAGTCGGTTTCTAAGCATTAACCTCGCTCGTCCGTAGACACTTCCCATCTCGCCCTCTTCCTCTCTCCCAAACCTCTCTCTCAATCCCACTCTCACCTCACCATTTTCCTCGTTATCCTGAGGCCGCCGCCAGCTTCAGCTTCTCAACCAACCCCGGCTCTTCTCTCCGTTTAGAATTTTAGATTTCACACACCCTGCGGGTCCCGGAATTGCACACCCTTTCGGTCAACCCTCATATACCCTTTTCCCGCCCGTCCTCTTCCTTCCTCCAGTTCCACCCGCCTTTCGCATCGCCAACATTCAACGCTGCGTCTGTTTCATTCATCGATATCTCACGCGTTTGTCACTCGACGTCTCGTCTCGTCTCGCTTAACATCTTTCTTCGAGTCTCGCCGAGTCGTCTTACCGCCTGAGCAATATATTATTCAGTTGATCCCTCGCCTTCCCTGTCGTTCTATCCTCTTGCGCCACCTCCACCGCATTGGTTCCTCGACATCGAGGCTGATCATCTGCATACATTTTCGGCCTCTGATCTGGTACGGTTCACATTTTATATCGTCTTGACATCTCAGTCTCGTCTTTTTACTTCGACTTTGTCTTGTTTTCGACCTTTCATGGTATCACTTTCAACTCGTCGTATTGGTCAACCACCCCGTTTCCCAATCTAGCCTTGATCAACGTCTAGGCCTTTGTGTCCTGGGTGTGGGATTCAAGAATCTCGACTGTGACTCACTTCCCCGTCCTTCACTACCAAGCACTTGCTTGCATCAAAGGTCGCGCTCTTGAACTAACGGGACTCCCCGGCTAAGCTTCAGGACTTCTGTGGCCATCAGTCGACTGTCTCTTTTATCTCATACCCACCTTGAATCTAAGCCATGTCCTTCTCCCACCCTCGTCGAAGGACTCCGGTGACTCGCCCGGACAGCGACACCGACAATGCCCTGTCCCTTAAGAACAGCTCTACCCTCCGTAAGGGTGCGACATTTCACTCTCCTACTTCATCATCCTCGACTCTAGACAACACATTTGTCCCTCCCACGCTGCCTCGGGCTCAGTCTCACTTGGACGATGTCGTCGATGCCAACCGTCGACGTGTGGCTCTGGCTCTGAACGACATTGACGAGGCTCTGTCCTTGGATCGGCTCTCTCTGTCGCCAAAGTCTAAGGTCAAGACGCTTCGAGACACCAGTCTCCCCATCCCTCGCGGCTTCCTCGAGGGACCTATTGTCGACCCCAAGATGACAAAAGAAGAGGAGAGGCGCGTTCTGCGCCCTCGTTCTGTTCGCCATTCACGGCACCATGAGTCTGACAGCGGTTTGGGCACATCGGTGGCTTCCACAAACGAGAAGCGGGGTGCAGTCACTTCCGCAAAGAAGGAGGCAAAGGTGCAAACACGATCCGCCATCACAAGATCCGTTGCCGCAGCATCGGAAAAGCTTCCCTCCCTGGGGCCAAAGGCTATTAACCGCATTCACGAGCACACTTTGCGCCCTTTGTTGGCAAAGCCGACTCTCAAGGAGTTTGAGCCCATTGTTCTTGACATCCCGCGACGAATTCGATCAAAGGAAATTATTTGCTTGCGAGATCTGGAGAAAACATTGATCTTTATGGCACCGGTAAGTCAGCTTCTGACTGGTTTTGGCGTTTGGGAAAATACTT